TTTATCTACAGGACAAAATATTTGTCATGGAAGCAGGACAGAAGCTAACCCTCATTTGGTTCTCGGATGATAGATATAGCATCAGAGATCAAAGATCCATTCATTTTTTTTCAATTTGAGTCAATGAACTGACAGCCATTTCAAATTCGAAAAAGATATCTACGTATTCTTTTTTTTTTAGTGTGGTTCGTTTCCTTACATAATCCTGGAAAGTATAATAATATTGTATTTGTAATTTATGGAGTAAAGGTCAATGTTTTTTTGTTATTTTGTTTATCACATTTTGAAAAGATTGTTTTGTTGCTTAACGTCCAGTGACAAATATCATGCATCTTTAGAACGAAAATAACTTAACAATAAATGCAAAATCTAGGTCTTGTATTAGAGGCCGTTCGGGATGAAAGTCAGGAAAATTTTTTCAAAGAAGTGTTGTTTACTATATTCGATTTACGAGCAATAACCTGTATAGCCAGGATTATATATGAATGCGGAAATATCAAAGTTGCAATTAGGAGTTATATACTTGATGTCGGATATATCGGGAAATCAAGAACACGCGTTTTTAGTGGTATCTTATGTCGCAGTAGGTGTGATATATGTATTAAATATGACAGGTACAGTCAAATCATTTAAGTTGGTATTCAATTTTGGTTGAAAAGTTTTATGATAAACAATGCTGATAGATGCTGATGGCATCGAGTCCTTTGTTGGCAATTGAACTTGTAGATGGGATCGTTTTCTGTTACATCATATCCAATCTGAAATTCTGTGACTGGCAATATCAGAGATGAAATCTCTAAGTGTGTATTGGATTTAATGGGGATTTGTTACATTGGTTTCCAACTGTAAGTTTGACCAATGTACATCAGAACATGGGCCACAGTAAAAATCACCGTCCGAATAGTTCAAATGATAGAAGGGAACGAGGAATATTATCCTTACATTAGACATAACATACTAAGTTAGGGTTACATACACAAAAAAAGCACAAGTCAAGATTCTTGGAACAAGTTCCTTTAAAAATCAACACATATATTTGGAAACTTTTAATTAATCAAAGTAATAAAAAAAATCAATGCGTTATTTCTAGATGCCGAATCCGACGCACTAGTATGACATATAACTATATTTTGTAAAACAGTTATAAATGCATTTCACTTGCAAGTATTGTAGTGTTATTTATATGCTTAATTTGTCTTTAAATATTACAGTTCCGAATGTAAAGTCGTTTTCAAAAGGTAGAACATTTGATTGGATTTTTTAATGATTTATGTCTAATGTCTATGTATAGCGCTTTTATTTTATAGCATTTTATGTAGATATATAGTTATTAAAGCAATGTACAAGTAAAGATGTCTTCAACCACAACTTTAAGTAATGAACATTGTCTCCGATTTAAAAAACAAATGTTTTCCTCAATATTAAGAATCGGCTCTCTTCGTCACAAAACGCAGCATTTGGCAAAGATTAATCAATCATCAAATATTGAATTATGGTCATGGAATGCATTATCCTGTGATTTATCCAAAAAAGAGGAATACAAGTATTATAAAGCAATATTCTTTGGCCTTTCAAAAATTCAAATCATGTCAATTAAGTGAATTTCTTATTGTTCATTTCGAATTATAACGACGAATGTACCCATCTACTAGTTCTTGTAGTAAATTAAAGGCAGTTCGAAGCTCTTTGCAACTGATAAATGCATCAATCTACCTAAACCAAAATATCAATTAGTACACTACACATCTAATGAATTTAGTGAAAATATGTAATATGAGTTTGATAAAAACAAGATACTGTTCAATTTTAAAATATAACTACCGATGCTATGTAGGACCGATGCTATGTAGGACCGATGCTATGTAGGACCGATGCTATGTAGGACCGATGCTATGTAGAACCGATGCTATGTAGGACCGATGCTATGTAGGACCGATGCTATGTAGGACCGATGCTATGTAGGACCGATGCTATGTAGGACCGTAAGAATTCATACATGTGAAGCAGTTATCGTTTAATAACAAAATCATGAAAGTGCCGATGGAAAAACAAAATATTATTACAGTCTGTTAAATTGGTGACCTTTCAGAATAAGTTTTTTAAAAGATGGATCATATCTGAATTGACGGGATGTTTGATAAGTTTTCTCCATGTAAAACAAACTTCCAAACCGAATTATTGAAAATGTTAGAATAAATTTGTGGTGACGAAATCATTGACTTGGGAAAAATAACTTTGAAATAATCTTCTTTTTTCGTATTTTGGTCGATAGTAGTTGTTGGTGGTTTCTTTCAAATTGGAAAAATCTAAAAAGAATATTTTCACATTGTCTTCATTTATATATGCCACAATCTCAACTTTAACAGATGTATCTGCTATCAACACAAACATTATGTTTATATTTTACATTGGGATATTCATAGAAAGGGTTTTAAGTCAGAGTGTTGAAAATGAATAAAACTATTTATCACGTAACGTGCGGTGAAAAAAAAGTCAGATATATGATTTAGTGTTCAAGCTATCACTGAATTATTATAAGGTGTTACAAATTAAATGTACCATTTATTTATTTGCTTTTTGAATCACACAAGAGACCATGTACAGTTTGTTTTATATAAACATCTAGTAAAAGTTTAACTTCATATGTTTATGTTCTTCTGACTTTTCTTCTTACCCCCGTTAAGGAAAAATTATAAAATATAGTGACAAAATCATATAAAAAGCCGTATAAACTATTGCTGGTGTCCGTTAAACGCTTAATAAGGCTCGGATAGGCCTGACTTTTGAAAGGACCACAGATCTTGGTTGACAGTCATGATTGTTCCTATCTTTGTATGAAATGCCTCGATAAGCAATTTGATAGAATGGTCTTCCAATAAATGTGTGTGTGACTGAATCTGATGCGGTAGTTACAATTCCTTATGCAGTAATAAAATGTCAAAAACAACATGAATATGGGGAGATATTATTTATTTATTTATAATATCAATGTTTTATTCATTGTTCAATCATTCCGCAAAATGATTGAGTTCAGATTGGAAATAACTGTGCCATCTGAGGTTTTTCTAAATGTTCAGATGATTTTTTGTTCATACATATGATTGCATATCTTCTAAATCAAACATTAATAGTGGTCGATATTATCCTTTAGACAAATATACATGGAAGAATTTCTCATTGTAAAATCCTTAAAAAAATTACGAAAAAGTAGATGGATTTTCCTTTTCTGATATATTTCTTTCCTTAGTGGCAGAATATATAAAAATAAGGAGATGTGGTATGGTTCTCGATCAGACAATTATCAACCAAAGTTCAAATGAAGTGGATGTAAGCCATTATAGGCAATTTTACTGTCATCAATAATAAGAAAAATCCATACCATATGGTCGGCTTTAAAAGTCCCCGACATGAAAATGTGTAAGAATTCAATAGAGAAAACAAACGGCCCAATTAAAAAAAGAAAAACAATTTACGAAAAACAAATATAACAGACATGAACCAACGACAACCACTGAACTACACGCTCCTGACCTTGGACATGCACATAAAGAATGTGGCGGGGTTAAACATGTTTGTGAGAACTCAACCCTCCCTTAACCTGGGAGAGGTGTGTAACATTACAACATAAGATAAAATTGAGAATGGAAATGGGGAATATGTCAAAGAGGCAACAACCCGGCCAAAGAGCAGATAACAGCCGAAAGCCACCAATGGGGCTTCAACGCAGCGAGAAAATCCCGCACCCGGAGGTGGTCCTCAGCTGGCACCTAAATAAAAATGTGTACTAGTTCAGTGAACATGGACGTCATACTAGACTCCAAAACATATAAATGAACTAAAATTAAAAAAAAACATACAAGACTAACAAAAGCCAGAGGCTCCTGACTTGGGCCAGGTGCAAAAATGCGGCGGGGTTAAACATGTTTTGTGAGATCTCAACCCTCCCCCTATACCTCTAGTCAATGTAGAATAAATAAACACACAGCGATACGCACAGTAAAACTCAGTTTAAAAGACGTCCGAGTTCGATGTCAGAATAGGTAACAAAAGAAACTAGGCAAAATGACAATGATACAAACATTAACAAAGGACTACTAGCAGTTACTGACATGCCAGCTCCAGACCTCAATTAAACTGATTGAAAGATTATGTCCTCATCATATAAAAGTCAAGTTCAATCCCTCCCGGTAGGTGTTTAGTATCATACCATCATAAAATATATGAGAAGAACATAACCCGTATCATGCCAACAACTGGTTTTAGAATTAATGTGTTTATTTCCGATGCAAAGACCCTATGAGTGAATCAATATCAATACCAAAATATGCAATCCTTAATGACTTGACAACAGTATCGTAACTATAGCCCTTCCAAGAATACACAATAAAAATCAGTTAAAAAAGACTTTACTCATCAGATAGATACAAAGAGAAATAACGAAAACACAGAGTGGACGTGAACGGGTACTTATACATCCCTACAACAAAGTGACAATAAGAACAGATCAGAGAGTACTCGCAATCACTGACAGCTAGTTCAAAGCCAATAATATCTTATACAAAATCATGTATCTAAGACTAAAATATCAATAAGTACATATCCAACATACAATGGATTTATTTTAAAGACGTCATTAACAGTCAGTAAAAAACATGACCTTGTGCCATGCCAAACTATAGGTATCAACAGATTGTAGTACCGTGAAAGAACATATAAGTAATATTTAGTATCGTTTTAGATTATTTATTACAAAATCAATATTGATACAAATAAACACATTATTCAAAGATATAATTACAGTGTTGAATAGGTAACCTTTTAGAATACGCTCATTTAAAAGACTATTCAGTTTACCCGGATTCTAAATTTTTGAATGTGCTATTTTGTTTACAATAAGTTTTCTACAGGTACAGCCAAACTTGCAGACCAAATCTGTGTATCTATGGAATAATTTAGTAAATGTTTTAAGAAATTTATGGTAACGAAATTAACAATAGGTAAAGAAAAATCATTTTTTGTCGGAAATTTTTGTGTAGAGTTTCAGGTGTAATACTGAAATATCTAAATCTAAGAAAGGACAGTTATTGCTGTTAATATTTGATTTATTTAAAGTAAGTTCCTTTGGGTAAATTCCAGCAGTTTATTTAGAGATTTCTTGATTATGTAACGAAAAAATATCATCAAGATAACCGTAAGTGTTGTTTATTAAATTGACTTTATACGGTAAACTGAGTTTGGCCATAAATTGTGATTCAAAACAGAAAAGGAACAGGTATGCTTATAATGGAGCTACAACTTGTCGATACACTTTATTGACGAAACGTGCATACATGTAGTATAGTTGGTTAACTCAGTATTGAAGTGACTTCCCCGATTATAACAAAAGAAATACTTTATATATTATTTTTCTACAGCAAGGATATATACATATTCTGAATATGTAAACACTTTTACTAAATGCTATGACAAATAAAGATAACTGTTGAAGTATAATTGAACCTTTAATTTTATAACAAGCGGTATTTTTCATCAAGCATTTTATAACATTGTTTTTAAAGCTATGACGTCTGTTATTTGTGATGCTACTCTTTTTCATTGACTCAACATACAGAGAAAATATCAACTATTTTGTCTAATCCAATCACTGCGTCTGCTATTTTTTTTAACCATTTCTGAGCTACTTTATATTTCAAACAACTCTAAATTTGTTGATGTATATAGTCTGTTCTGGGCATTCCACATTATATTGTCTTCATATGTTGTTGAATACGTAGCTGTGTGAAATGTTCTATTGATATTGAATCGAGATAAGCTAGCGATATTGGAGTGAAGATGTGTCTGATTTAAAATATGGTATAATATTACCATTGTGTGTTTGTTCTCATGAACTTTTTTATTTGAGAGCTAAGATGTTGTCTGAACTGTTTTTTTTCTGTTTTGATAGGTAGGTTTCTAGTCTACTTATCAATATTAAGATAGAAGTGTTTGGAAAGATCTAAAAACAAGATAAACCCTGCCGCATAAACATGTGTCTGTTTAAAGAAAGGAAACTTGTCATCGGTCGCCTTAAGCAATGTCTTTTTTTTTTGTAAACTTTGGTGTTGATGTCCGATATTTGAATGTATCTGTTTCATTTACTTACTCTTTGTGTATCCTTGGGATGATTACAGCTTGACATAATGGATAGATCTAGACATATATCTATTATTGATGAATGTGTGTTGCCTTCTAGAAGTCTTTAAATATTCTTTGTCGAGCGTCGCTGTCTTATTGACAGTTATTCTACAAATCCTTTTATTCGCACATGTATTATGTTTACGCCAACATTCGTTTGATCAGCCGCTTATTATATTAATATGTATTATATGGAGACAAATTTTCCAAAATTGAAAAAAAAAAATCTCAAGGATTTAATGTTTATACAAGATAATGGCATACACGACTAAAATTTCAATATGGTACAAAGGATGAAAAAAAGCTAAGAAAACTGATTAAGAAGTTATTAAATAGTATTAATGGAATGGTTTATGTTAAAATGTCTATTATATCATGGTTAAGAACATTTTGTGATAATTCCCACTCGTCTGCGAAAATTGATAGTTGCAAAAAATATTGAGGAAGCTGCTACTTAACCTTTTCTGGAGACTTTGTTATATCTCATTTAAAAAAAAAAGTAAATGTTACGCGATGCAAATTGGAAAAATACAACTGAAAAATGTAAGCTGTTCGTCAATAAGTCAACTTTATTGCCAGTCTCATTTTTTCTAAATGATAATTAAAAATCAGATTTCAATTATGAGGCCTTTTTTTGTTACTTTTCTGCAAAAGCTGTTAACAGATATTATACACTCTCATATGTCGAAACTTGGTATCCGTGCCTTAAATAGCGTGTATGATGGAGAATAAGGACGTCAAAGGGATTTCATCAGTAACTTGGTCGTCAATGACAGAGAAAAAACATTGGGAAAATTGATTCTGATCGTAGAATTGACATTTTGACTAGCAGTCTGGTTATTGTCGATGATACTTCTTGTTTCGTATCACATAGATCGACTTCTATTTTTACATATATCGGTACCTTACGTGTGAAAGAATAGATCGACGTCTTAAAGCTTTGCTTTTATGTAAATAAAAAATGGAACAACACTACAACTATATGTCTGGTTTATTTCATTATTCGTAGGAGCATTTTAAAATCTTCTGAATGGGAAATACTTTGTAATAGAAATTGTATTTTAAAATAATAAAATAAAACACATTCATACTGAACAGTGATATCACAACATCATGTTAGAAATGTAAAATGCAGAAAAATATTCCACTGCTAAAAAGTGGACAGTTGTTTCATTGGAAATAATACTACATCTCCTTATTTTTATATGAATGTGAGTTTAATGTCAGATTCGTTGATTTTTATTCTTTGAAAACACTTTCATCAAACGTGCTGTATTGGTTGTCAATAAAAACTGAACATTGTATTGGTGTCCCTTTTAGAAATTTCTTTGTATGAACAGCTTTTTTAAGTATGACATGTATCATCAGGCCTTTTATTTTCAATAGCATTACATTTTATGTTTGTATCCATAGGATTGAACTCACTGCTGCATTAATTTAAGAGAGGAACATAAGTCATTCTAAGCCAACCATTATCAGATACGCTGGATATTTTAAGAGAAAAAAATGTATAGCACATTTAACATGTTTTAACGCATTGCAAACAATTAAAGATAATGATTGATTTTTGAAAATCACAAAAGTAGACTTATGATAAAATAGAGAATGGAAATGGGGAAGTTGTCAAAGAGACAACAACCCGACCCAAGAGTAAATAAGAACAACTGAAGGCCACCAATGGGTCTTCAACACAGTCAGAAAATCCAGCACCCGGAGGCGGACTTCAGCTGGCCCCCTTAACAAAAATGTGTACTAGTTCAGTGAAAATGGACGTCATAATAATATTTATAAAACCATACATTTATTAGTACTTTGATTATGAAAGCTTTGATGTGTCACGTAAATATCTGACTCCACCTGAGTTGACTCGCTCAAGCGCCATCATTAAGCTATGTATGGTCTTGACTTTGGATTGTCTCTTCCACTTCCCCAAAATGTCTTCCACCAAACCAGGTAAATCTTTCTGAAACTTGAACAAACTCTGCTCTACATCAGTGAAGCTTAATCCTAGTTCTATACCCAACTGCAGTGGACAATTTCCAATATGATTTGACAGTTCCTTCAAATGAAGGTCACTTGGAATGGCTTGCAGATGGAAGTCCGCAATTTCTGAATCAATGAATATATATACAAATAATCAACAAACACATAAGTCATGTTTTAATTAATGAAATTGAATATGGCGAAATGTGCAACTTATAATGATTTAAAAGAGGCAGCAGTAGTTTACCGAATTAGACCTCGTAAGTCAATTTTGAAAATAAGGATCGAGGTAAACAACAACAAATTCACACTGAATTGAACTGTCATGATAGACAATAGGACACAATCGGTTAATATACAGGTCAGATAATTTTTCGGATCTGTGGCGATGCACACATCATATCGGTCACCTAAACGGGATCGACCGTTAATTTGTTGACGCACAAATTAATCTTAAATGAGTAGTGTATTTTGCGGGAAATCGTAAGACCCATGTTAAAGAACACTTTTCAAATGTTATACTCGTACTTAGTTAAACAGGTTTCGAAAAAGCAAGAACAGAAATCACATCATAAGATGGAAAATATTTGCAAATGCTGCGTTTGTAATATAATTCAAGAACATTATTCATAAAATTTGTAAAAGCTTATCCAAATGTTCAATGCTTTAACACAAAATTAGAAAGCACACACACAATCATAATGGCCCTTGATTGAATTCACCTAGCTACAATGTTCCCTAAACAGGAGTAAATTTAAATCAACACTTCGAAGTTAATTAAGTTAGTAAATGTTTATTATTAATCATTTATAATTCAATGTAATGTAATATTTTTCTTTGATTAATAATCGCTATGTAAGTATAGTTCCCAAGCCTGTTACTTACCAAACATCTTAGTCTTTTCTCTGAAAACCTATTAAAATGAAAATGAAAAGGATCATAACTTACGGCCCTCAACAATGAGAAAAATTCATACCGAATAGATACTTTCTTTTTTGTTCAATGTTAAAATGGAAGTATCGTGAAGTGTACGACAGAAGATTAAACTTTTAGTTATATGTTATTGCAAACTCTTTATAATAATAATAAATAGTGAAGCTGCTAGTCAAATGTAAAAAAAAAAAGTACTGAAAATATAAAATATTTGATTTACTCTCTTTAACATGGGAATTCATTATACAGAATGAAGTATTTCCTTTGACATCATAATACAACACAGAAGAAAATAAGCAACATGTAGTGCAATATCTTTTGAAAATGATGAATCATCAAATGTAGAATATTAGTCATATTAATTCGTTGATCAATGTATAAGTAGTCGGCTTGGAATCTTATTCAGCAGTAGAAGTGCCATGACTTCTATTTTGAGAATCTGTATACTACATTGTAGATCATCAATTAAACCACAGTAGCTGTATTTGAAAATAATTTGTTTTTCATTTAGTGTTACTAGGATATTTCAGATAGTATGTGAAAGGTTGAGCAAGGAGTTGTATTTGTCGTAATGAAATCCCCAAGAATTTCAAGTTCTAACATACTTTCCAGTGAAAAAACGCTTTATCATATTAGTGCATCCAAAGCGCTTTTCTATATTCATCTTCATTAGAAAAGTAACAAAAAAAACAAAAAAAAAAAAAAAAAAAAAACACCAAGAATTTATCATAGTTGAAACTAGCTATAATGACCAACATGATCTTATCAAGAATAGCAAAACTGATCAAAGATCAATATTACTTTAGTTTCTAAATTTAGTTTTCTAAAATTATAAACAAATTCACATCTGTGCAAGATTTGTTGATAAATGGAAAGGATATTATAATCTTCACATATAAGAACAGATATGTTAGTCGTGATAAAACTATGACGTCCTTAACATGTTGAAATCAACATATTCAGATTGAAATATTTTTTTTTTTAATTTTGATATACATTAGACAAAATAAGATGTAAGCCCAGACATAAACTATTTTAGCAAAGTTATATGAGATCGACCATTGTATTTTGAACAACTGAATATGAAATGAACCGTGTTTAGGTGTTCTTTTTTTATTAAACACAGCAAAATGTTGTTGGCTTTTAGGTCCTGCATTTCTTAAAGTTTAACTTGCATATTATTTATTGAAAACGGCAAACACTTGGCAATTTAGTAATATATATGAATCTAGAAGATGAAACTGGAATCATAAAAGTAAATGTATTTCTTTAAAGATGTGTCCTATTTAAAGAATTAGTTTTACATGTCAAAATACTGCTTGTCTCAGTTACAAAATATACATAGGAATCTAATGTTCAGTAGTTGTCGTTTGTTGATGTGGTTCATTAGTGTTTCTCGTTTCTCGTTTTTAGATAGATTAGACCGTTGGTTTTCCTGTTTGAATGGTTTTACACTAGTAATTTTTGGGCCTTTTATGGCTTGCTGTTCAGTGTGAGCCAAGACTCCGTGTTGAAGACCGTACTTTGACCTATAATGGTTTACTTTTATAAATTTTGACCTGGATTGAGAGTTGTCTAATTGGCGTTCATACCACATCTTCTTATATCTATATATAAATGAAGCAGAGTATGCGTATACGTGATTGTGACAGTATCCAAACAATAAAAAAACGAAAGAAATCCAGAGTTCATATATAATGAATTTATATTTTCAGGAAACACTCTGTACCTGACATATCAGGTGGCCATTCAGATTCACTGCTATCAAGGCATCGGAAAGGTCTTTCAAAGACGGATTCTCCCTGGAATGTTTCCATGTGTTCAGTGCCATCGACATGATGCCCTCTGGACTGTGACCAGCATACATATATTCAGTGTTTTCCCATTTGTTCTTTTCCATTCCCAAGTTAATAAAAAATTCTTCAAATGACCGAATTCCAATCTGACCTCCCAACCTAACAAGGTGCTTATCACTTGGTTCTGTTTTCAGTTCATTTACGTCGAGACCTTAAAATAGTAGTTTATCTGTAATCAGCTATTAACAATGAATTTAATTAGCTAAATCTAATACCTTCAAAGTAAAGAGATAAAAAACAAAACTAGTATTGTCACTTTTTTCAAATCAAACCACATAAAATAAAGATAATAATTTGGATTGTAATTGGTCACATCTTAACTAACACCATACTTGAAATGTATCCTGCAAACATATAGTGTTCATATTCTTTCCAAAATTTGAGCTACGAAGCTAGAACTGCAAGTTGTAGGGGAAAACACTTACATGATATGGTCACATGAAAGTTGCAGTAAACAATTTTTTTTCTATTTATAAGTTTTTTACAAATATTTTTACTTTTTCAAGTCGTTCTCATTATTGACGGAGGATCACATATTCGTTAAAACATATTTTATGAAGTAAGTCTTTCTTTCAAAGTGGTTGTCCACTCATCTTTTTCATAAAAAATTGTAACATTGGACTACTATGTTGCTTAGTATAGATAAGAAGATGTGGTATGATTGCCAATGAGACAACTCCCCTTCCAAGTCACAATGTGTAAAAAGTTAACAATTATAGGTCTCAGTGTGTATTAAACTATCTGTGTTTGAGCAATTGCAATGTGTATAAATCAGTATAAGGAATGAGTCTATCGACAAGTGAGCGGGACGGATGTCAACACCACAATCTATGTTTCATAATAGTGATATACCAGTTACAAATATATTGTGTTCTGAAACATTGTGAAATATTTTTGAATTTCCCAGAAATTTAAATTCTCTGGAAGATGACTCTTTAGTCCGAATCATAAATTGTCAAGACTTAATGGACTGTTAGGCGGTCCACTGGTGCATTTGAAGATTTAAGTTTATCAATTTATGTGAAAACAAAATATAATTTAAAAAAAAATTATTACAGTCGTAATAAACAGAACTCACGCCCATCCCCCCTCCCCACCCTCCGCCAAAAAAAGTAACAAAAAGACTCTACGAACAACAAACAATTTAAGACAAGTTTTTCCTATCTTTCAGCATCAAACCAGAAACCAATAATCTAGTGGTTGTTATTGTCTTCGTTCTGCTTTTATTGTTTTTCGCTCTTTGTTGTAGTAAATATCAGGCAATCGCTGAATATGAATTAGGGCTGTGCTGGTTGTTTAAGGCCGGCAAACAATATACAGTTAGCTATAAATTAAAACTCTTTTACAGATATAAGTGTCAGGAATTTCCTAAAACAAAGTTATCCCGTAATGTACATGTAAATAGGTTACTCATATATGACTATCATAAAGCATACAATTCAATTTTATGCACGACGGTCTAAATATGTTTTCTATATTTACCTTTACATTCACGTCCGCATGTCTTTTGGCTCTGAAATTGTTTAAAATTGATGGTTTAGTGAAACACATTTTCTTTTGTATGTTGATTTATGTAAAGTAATCGTAATGTGTGAAATCCATTTTAAGTTCGACACTATTTGTATTTTTTTTTCAAATACCTTGCAACCGACCGGTAAACAATTATTTACTATGTGACACTACAACTTGTAACATATCATCTATATCCCCTGACAAATGTAGGGATAGTAAAAAACGTTATGATCCCTGACAAATGTTTTATTATCATTTTGCTAATTACTTTTTCATATTAAGTTTTTTTTTTACATTTAATTTATGATTTGATCTTTAATAATTAAAATCTTTTAGTAATGATAAAGTAAATTGTTGTTATATACTCATAAGTTGTTATACTAATTTCATAGCATATTTCATAAACTTTATATTAGATTAATTGCAATTATCTGGTTAGGTATACATTTGTCTAATCACGGTTGTCCTGTCGGAATAGCTATAGCTTTAACTCGCTGCTACGTGAACGTGAGCTCTTTGTTTAAGGCTCAGGGATCTATTTTTGTTAAACACGATTGTATTAAGTTTAAATTGCTCTTTTGTATTCATCATTTTGATAATCGGTGTTAAATAATACTCCCCATTTACTTTTGATAAATTTTCGTATACAAACAGATTTTTTTTCGACCTGAATTTGGTAGCCTTTATGTAGTTTGTAAATAAATTGTGTTGTTGAATCAACATTATTTCTCTTTTTGCTCCAGTTACGAATACAAAATAAAACGGATTGAAAATAAAATAGTCTTGATATAGTATATCTCTAAAAATACAGACTTATATACATTTATATAATATGCGAGTTGTTCAACATAGAAGCCATTCATAGTCCCCACAACTGCACAAAATAACTTGACTAGTTGCACATAATTGCTACTGATTAATGCATGCACTGAAATAATCTGGAAACTGCAGTACAGAACGGTGACATATGCATTTAAACAGGTTGTTATTGTGTTTTTGACCTAAATTGTGATTTCAATCGTAGGCTTTTTGATAATATTAGTTATGACTCGACGCTATACACTATAAGGGTATATAAACCAAATCAACAGCCAGTATAATATAGTGTAGCAAAGTCTTGGTTCATACTTAAATACAAATGGTATTCACATTTAGCTGATTGGTAATTCTAAATGAAATATAGTTCAAAATTATGAATACTTATTCATGTTATTGCTGACATTTTTATGTCTGCATGATGCTATTCAGCAGATCGATTACATTTTGAGATGTTTTGATTTAATAGACCAAAAACAATCGAATCATGTCTTCTTTCATTTTCAAAGTGTAATAATGTTGATGAGATATTCACAGTTATTTCCTCTCAAATGTCACTCTTTATTCATTATCAGTAATATAATATGACGCACGAATGTAGGAATAGTTTTGACAATTGCGAATTGTAAAACTAAAAGGAAAGAACACATAAAAAGGACCAAAACAGGATAACAAAAATTGTCTAAGATCAATTCTTCTTCGTATTTACAACCTTAGTTTTGGAAATAATGCACACTATGAACAGTGCATTTTCAAAACATGTTTAATATAAACTGGAAAAAAAGCAGTTTATCTGGTGAATTGGTTCCTGATGTAATTTGAGTCCATGAGCAGTGGGACAACGTCAATGTAGTAAAACACAAATTACTTCATGTGGTTTTGGAAAGCTAAGCAAGTCTTGCTTTTTCTACTGTAAATTAAGATATTAATGCAAATCTTCGACGACTGTCCAAACTGACGTTATAATAAATGCATTTCAGTCAATATTAAAAAAAAAAAATCTTAAAAAAACAAATTCTAGTTTGACTGATATCAATCCAAACTTTGTTTGAGGTCAAAGGCCAAATAAAGGTCAAAATGACCCTCTTTTACTGTGTGATACACTCCCCACAATGCATATCTGGAATAGACTGCGGTATTTGGCAAAATCGTTCGGAATTTTGTGTCTTCATTGCACTTTATTTGGCATTTTTTTTTTGTGATTTGAGCGTCATTGATGATGTCTTTTGCATACGAAACGCGCGTCTGTCTTATCAAATGTTAAGCCGAGTATCTATGATGAGTGTATCCACATACCAAATTTTGTCAGTTTAATTTCTTGTGTACAACAGTTATGTATTGGAAATGTTTTCGACAATGTGTTACTATCATATGGGTCATAGGTCACAGAAAAGGTCTTCGTGACCTGATTTTGGTATCGGACTAACTGTCGTCCCATGACGCATCTGCTTATTAAGTTTGTTCAAGCTGAATATTATGGTACAACTGTTACGCCCGGACACGACGCAGGGCTGACAATCAGACAGACAGTCGAACAAAGTGATTCATATGTAACCTCATATTTTGTTTTCTAAGGGTATACATAACAAAAAATGCCTTACCTTGTTGAAGACCCAATATCGTAAGTATCTTGTTTCGTGTACCTTCCCATTATCACATATCCATTTGTCATTTGTCAAGCTTTCTTGCGAAGATATAAAGCAAACATATCTGTCGCATGGAATCCCTAATTCTATTGTGTATAGTTCTGACACATTTGTTTGCTTCATTTTTCTGCCAAAGCTGTTATAATAGAATAAGAGGGACGACTCGAGATTCTTTGTTAGACATTCTTGTATGCTTGCTGCCACATCGGGTGATATATCAAGTAATGATTGCTGATTTGCCAAGGATATCAAAACTCGATTATCTTCCAAACATATTCTGATTTCATTTTCCTCGTTCACATTCAACACTGCAGCCTTGTGGTAAAGACACGGTTTTTGATTTTTATATTTCAATGGCCAAGCATTGAGTGCTGCGCCAAGTACTTTGTAAGCCAATGCAGTAGGAATAGAGTGCAGAGATAATGAATACCTTAAACATATCGTTTGTTGTATCTGATTGTCGAAGGAATTAAAACCAAATGGTTTAGAAACTTTGATCATGCATGGTACGAGGTAAACATCATAGACAGAAGTTTGTGTATTCGCCTTTGGAATAATCAGAATGTCCAAATGTATAAGGAGCTTTAAAACAAATTCTTTAATGGAATCATCTGGCATATATTCATGTAAATGATTTTGTTGCCAAAGCTTCAAAAGATCTTTTTTGTCGATTTTTCCGGTGTCGGTCAATGTTTGCAGTATAGATTTGAGATCTTTCTCTGCTGGAAAGAACCTCTCATCTGTAACGAATGATCTCAATATGTTTACTAATGCAGGAGGGTGAATAATGATGAATTTGTCTAACCCATTTCGGTTGTAATACATCAGCTTACCAAGAGAGTGCTGGACCAATAGGAAATCATCCAATTGACCTTCTCCTAAAGCAAGATCGTCATTCAGCTTGTTGACATTTAGGAGGTCTTTCTTTGTAATGATGTTTATATTCTTCATTCTCATGTTGGAGATTTGTAACTGTAACGGAACCCATTGCATAGGTCTTCTCTGGCCCCAGGACGATTGCTGCATCGCAAACATGACAACCTGATCTGTCATGTGTTGTATTTCAACGTCGTGTTCATCAATTCCATTTATGAAATATACTGTATCAAGGTGAATGTGTTGTCGTTTCTCATGCTTGGAGAACATCTGTTTAATATCATTGATGAAGCTCTCTGTCATCTTTGTGGTGTCTTCCTGAAAAAAAATAACGAATGCTGGTGGAGGAATGTTTTATAGTTATCTCTATCTTTTTATCAGCTGTTTTTTGTACCACATTAGAAATAGATTTTCTGCTTATGTCTGTATAATTGAAATCTTTTCAATTTTCTCTTTACCGAGTTTTGCAGATTGTCACGATGCTTTCTTGCTGTATTTATTTCTGAGAGTATTATATCTTGTTATGAAAGTACAACTATAACTAGTTTGTATAAGTGTTGTTTGTTGTTTAAGGCCATTCGATATCATGCTTTTGATCATTTTTACTCTTTGTATTAGTAAGGATATTATATAATTGGTAATCATAGTACCTATCCTTAATTTAGATTTCTTCTATACTTACTGTTAGATCACTTACCTAATATGACTTTTTAGTTCATTAATCTTTTGTTTACCAAAATTACATGGAGTACAAAACTATGTGACTCAGACTGTTGATTTACCTTACACTTGTCTCTGTGTGTTGCAGCAAAGAGAATCATCGGCATAATGTCTTCAGAATTATCAGTGTAGGTCAAAATTGAATCAACCCAATGTTTGAGTATGGCTAAAATGAATTATGAAATCATTGATCGACCCGGTATGACTTGCAGTCACAACATTTGTTTAAGGAGGTCATCATGATGATGATAATAGTGCTAATAATAATATTTGAAATAATAATGTGTAATATATATATGTAAATCGGTAGAATATTATTAATAAGGTGAATGCACATATACATGATACATAAATGATAAATATCCCCATATATTTATATATCAATAAATAAACATGTCATCCATGTCGCAGTTTAATTAAATTTAAAACATTAGTTCAGTTGATCAGCATTTGTTGTCACAAAGCGAAACTCATTATCTTACTATTGCATTCCTTGTTTCTTCTGACTACTCAGATATTATGATTTGCATTTAAATTCCGATTTCAATCATGCAGCGACACGAATTTTACACACACACAAAAATAAAAATCATACAACATGCTGTTTTCAATAATATTCATGTGCTATTAACCATTTTTCCTTTCACAGCGTAAAGACCCCTCCCCCCCCCCCAAAAAAAAAAAAAGAAACAAAACAAATCAAAACAAAACGAAACAAAACAAAACAAACCAAAACTTAAAAAGGTATTTAGAAATTAAATTAAATCTAGGACAACAACTGGCGTGATACTTGCTTGTGGGTAAGTATTATAACTGTTTATGGAAGACTTAAACTAAGATTGTAGTCATTGATTAAGCTGAATCAATTTAAATGTAGGTAACAAAAAGGATCACGTATAAGGTCGATGTTGAAAGTCTATAATACCGTATTATAAAGAGAAAAACAAGTACAGAATGAAAACAATAGTTTATAAAGTTCATGCGTCTGTCGTGATCACCAAGAGCTCAAAACCGATTGTTTGGTGTATGAGGTGAAAACAGTAGCTGAATGACTAAACATAAAGATCTACAAATAATAGCCGAATCAATCTATGGTCAGCTTTAACTGAAGGAGGTTGAAACCTTAATTCATAATCATATCTAAATTCATAAACGGACAGTTACGAAAGTGTTTTTTTTAATCATGTCAGTACTGAAGCATTGACTTTTGAGCTGATGATACCCTCGGGGAATGGTAGATAACCAGCAGCAGTATCGACCCAGTGTTGTAAAAATTGAAAACAGCGCTTTATAAATTGTGCTTCCGATGCGTTTTTCTGGATTACCTTCATCAGGAACGATCAAGCCGAATATTTGAAGGGAAATTAAGTATAAGAAAGAGTTGAGCAGCTATGTGACCATCAAGGCTATTAAATAGTAGACGATACCTTTGCCTGTAGGCGTTGAAATCCTAGTTCCTAAATCATTTCCTAAATTATAATAGGACATTAAAAAAAACAATATTTGTTATGAATCATGTCAGTAGCGACGTGTTTACTTCTAAACTGATGATATCCTGGGGGACTGATAGCCCGTCAGCAACGGTATCAATCCAGTGCTGTATAAAATGAAGGCAAACTTTAAGTGTTCCATTTAAACATTTTTTAAGTTACCGAAAGAGAAAAACTTCAAATATCTGATCTGTTGATCATTCAATCTTATAATTATTATGCTGTATATTGATAACAGAGAAGACAGCAGAAAGAAATATTTGTTATTATATAAACTGTTATTCATATTATATAGTGACGCTTCTATATTTTTTATGTAAAACAAAATCGTTCAAGCCATTTACCCACATTATGATGCAAATTATTCAAATTGAAAAAAAAGAATGTACAATGCAACGTTAATTGAAGGCAACAGCTGTCTGGGATGAAACACAACCAATCAAGTTATACTGTTATAAGTATAACGTAAGAGTTTGAACGTTTTCTAAACTAGAAAGCCAGTTTCAGTTCAGAACAATACCAACTACTATGCATATATCATTTACTGGTATCATATGACTGTTTATATTATATATTTTCTACTTTTAGATACTACTTACATGCAGCAGTAACCCCCTCCGGATATTCGTCTAACTGTTTATGTAAACCAAATCTACCATCAAACATCAACAAAAATGATCCCTGGTGTTGTATGAAAAGTTGATGTGTCATATCATATGATTTTTGGCCACCGAAATCTATTAGATCTGACGGTGCTATTTCAATTTTGTACTGTCCATTTCTAACTTCATGTAAAATATCTGATTGAAGTTGCAGTTTCTGGCAATCTAATGTTTGAATCTCGTGAGCTGTTGAAGGCATATCTGTTTTCGAAATTTGTGTACCTAACTGTTCGAGGTAAGACTTAGTCATTGCATCATGAGTCTTTGATGCACATTTGTCTGTTGAATGTCTGGTTGTCCTGTATTTTTCTTTTATATTTTCAGTTTGTTTAGAGCTTTCAATTGATGTTTGAACGACTGAATTCACCCTTTTTTGATTGGTTGTTGTTTCCGGTCTGGTAAACTGTTCGGAAAACTCTTCTGGTTTACCTCGAAGCATTTTTGCCAAAACCTCATGTCCCCGATCACCTATAATATATTACGTAATTGTCTGCTAAATACCGAACGTGAGCTATTCCCAAATATTACTATTAGGTCGAGTGTGAATTCGCAATGCTATACGAAGTGTTTCAGTTTTTATACATCCAATGCTCGTGTATTTAGTTATGATGTTTCTTTTGTGAGTCTTGTTATAGGGTGTGCTATGTCTTATCGTTTGTGGTACAAATTCTGTATTTTCGGTACATCTAACGGATATCTTATTTGTCAGAATAGTCGAGTAGTTCGTTTTCAGTGTTTTGGGGTAAAGTTGTTTGTTTTGAACTGTGTTTAATGTTAGGTTCTTCTTCGTTTTGCTTTATATTACAAGTATTTTATTTTTATTTTCTATAGCATGTAAAAATTAAGATACTGAATCATATATTTTATTTATATTATTTTACTTTGTGCACGGATGTTGATACAAGTTTGGATTTATAAGACAAACCAATATGGTTGGAAAGTTCAAATATTAAAACCGTTACAAACATAATTCTATTTTCATATATTTATCATGGAGATGTACGTTACTATTCTGTCATTTATGTATTTCTCTTTCCTGAATGTTCTTACATTTATTTGTACTGTATTCCTGTCATGTAAGGTTGTTATCTTAGCGGTATTTTTAAAATTGCCATATAAGCAGGATGATTCGCCACCTACCAAACTTGGTTCCACAAACCATTTTTAAAATGTTCTGATCCAAGTCAGTTATATGGCACTTGTTATCAAATAGTCCGTTTCTATGTATGTTGGCGTTTGCTTTTTTGTCGGTTCAGTGTTTCTGTTGTTCCTTTGATTTCCTCTAATAGTTGATGTGTTTACTCAGGTTTCAATTTGTATCCCAGATTTGTTTCGCTTAATTGAATAATGACTATTTGAAAACGGTATACTTATATATATATATAATTTAAAAAGAGTTGTAAACTATTGGAAAATGATCTAGATATGTTCTTACTTTTATTAAAGGTTATTTATTCTCTACTTGGATTTTATTATTTTTTAGATAAACTAGAACAGACCCGCGAAATCGCGGGCACTTAGAGCTTGGTGGAAAGTATGTAAACTTTGTAGGGAGAATTTTTGTAAAAGATATATCTGGAGAATTTCAGAAAGGGTATTAAAATTCATAGATACTTGGAGACAGGACAATTTTTTTAAGCCCTCTCCCTTTTTTCCAAAGTCCGTTATTTTTTAAGTTTTCTGTTAAATTCCATTTTTTTTTGCGTTTCTGTATACTATGAACATACGTATAAAATAAATAAAGTGTATTTGCTATTAACTATTATTTTCAAGTTTCTTCTCCAAGGCGATCACTGCTATATCATTTGTGAACATTATATAGAGTGTCTCTATCAACGCGAAAATTATTGTCCTGTCCCCGAGCACTCTTATGAAAATTATGTGCAAGTTTAAAACCGGAAGTCTTGTATGCCTTAAAAGTTGGTTTGATGACGGAAACAATATCCGGACGCCTTTATTTTCGTTTTTCTCCCAAAATAACCCAAACTGAATAGTCATAAGAAAAGATGACAAATGCGTCTATGCATGGTACCTATAGAACACTTAGACATGATGATTAATTTATTGTGGAAGGAAGAGAAGCGACACACAAAATGAGGTCTTCTCGTTTAATAGTATAGATACTGACCGGATTATTTTCTTAAAGCAACACATGTAGCGTATTTGAAAAAGGATAATTGAGATCACGTCTTAAATAACATAATTTAAAACATACCCTTTTTGAGCGGAAGCATTTTATTTCTTTCTATGTCAATACCGTTCCTTCCAAAAAATATGACAAGTCCGTCTGTTGAATTCCACTTAAGTGGAATTTTTTCTCCAATAAGCACGCTTGCAAGGGTACTTTTCCCTGCCCTACATGGACCACCTATTAATAAAAAAAATACTATTATATCTAAAATTAGTTTTTTAAAATGTACCTGTATTAGGATTCGGACTATAGCATTTCGTTACCTGTATACAACAAGTATACAAGCAAACCAGATTGATAAGGTAAAATTCCACTACGTATACGGACACAGTGTTCAAAAAACAAAAATCGGGTGTAAAACCCCATTAATGCACATTGTAAAATCATTGATTGTTCCTGTTTACACTTTGAAATAATTGGCTTTATCTTGTTGCCTATGAAAATAAATAAACCGAATGATTAATAATGGCTGCAATGAGTTAGGAAATTGTTCACAACCCGTTTTAAAACAAGTTTTCATGTAGAAATTAAAATCGACATCTGCAATATTAAATGAGTGACACATTATTTAACAGAAAACCCGGTTGTTGCATATGAAAATAAAGACCACCAACGAAACACTATGAACAAAAAAGATTTACCAAATAGACCACTTGCATGAAACCGGATTGTATTATACATTCAATAATGTCACAATCGAAAGAATAGAGCGAAATTGTGTTAAGATAAATGTATCTCAACTTTATGCATATTAACAGTTATTCAATTTGTATAAGACCAAATATAATTATGTTATATGTGGTAATTTCTTTGAGTAATAACATGAGCAACACAACGGGTGCCACATGTGGAGCAGGATCTGCTTATCCTTCCGGAGCACCTGAGATCACCCCAGTTGTTGGTGGTATTCGTGTGGCTGTTGTACCCCTTTTAAAGACATTTTTATCTATTGTGTTTGTTTTGTTCACACATTGTTGTCAATATAATAGAATTTGATGCGATTGTCATACAAGTGAGAGGTTCAGCTAGGTTAAAAACCAGGTTTAATCCATCATTTTTTACAGCATTTTTGTGATTTTACTTTTTAGGTTATGATTCTGATAATAAGCATAAATGCGATAAATTGTCTTCTTCAATACTTGTCTATTAGAATAAATGTTCGTTTATTTAAAACTTTAAAAATGAAGCTATTTCACAAACCGCGCCCTTTTTGAGAGATATATATAATAATTTAGATTTTTTTTTTATTTGTTTACCTACTGGTTCCACGATATGTTCTGTATGTTTCATTTCGTAGAAACAATAGCCTAGGTTTTGATGTGTTAAAAAACGTGGATGTGAACTTTTCATCCCATCATATGAGTGGAACACTTTAGGTAAAAAAGTATACTATGTGATAGCATTTTATGTTCAATATAAGAGGTTGGATATGCCGTGTTATTGGCAACTAGATTTTGAATTTCATAAATTTTCAAAGGTATTTAACACCGCATGTGTTAAATTCATGAAAAACAAGGACAAATATTAAAAATGTATATGTTCACATAATAAAAATAGGGGTCACATACTTCGTTTTGTCACTATATATAGCAACCACAGTGTCGTATTTTTCCGTAATAGGATCAACATTTCGTTGTCATTTACAATTTCAAATGAATCACGTTTACTGAACCTAGGATGATTTTTTAATTTGCACATTAAACATAAGATTTTTATATATAAATCTAAATGAAGGAATTTAGATGAAAGGATCATTGGTGTTTTGTTCTTAAAAAGTATGATTATTTCCATTCCGCAAAAAAAAAAAAAAAATACACAAGAATGACAAAAATTTCCTGTTTTCAAAAATATATACCATTGATTTTTTTTATACAACAATTTCAAGAAAGGAAGTACTATTTGCTGTTTCTCAAACAATTATCCAGACTATGGTTCCAAATTACCTTTGTTTTCTCTTTGCTATTAAGAAAAGAGTTGTCTTTCTATATAAAATCATATCTGAAATTATGATAAATATTTCAAATAGGACATTTCAATCATACATTCATAAAACAGAAAGTTATGTTTTCCCTACCTCTCTTTGATAGAAATATTGGATGTCACTAGTTCAGTTTAAACTATAAGTTGTATTAGTATTTTAAAAATAAGTTTTAAAAGGTTAAGTAATTAAATGGAAAGGATTTAACAAAAAAACGAACACATCAATACTATTCCATGTCAACACATAAGTGCAGATTTTTGTTATGGTTATCAAAAAACTAGGGGACGAAATGTCTATCATCAGATCCGTCGACGGAGTGGTTCCAAACCATGCATATAATATGATATGGCAGACGCGCGTTTCGTGTACCAACGATTATTCAAGGACGATCAAACGGAAATTTAATTAGTATATATAGCTACCTAGACTTAGCCGGTTCTCGTATGAAAGGAATTCTCCGTGTGAAAGCATACGTTGAAATTCAATAGCATCAACCAACCACGGGAGTTGTATATCCTTTTCTGAAAAAAAAACATAGTTTAATTAGATATAGGAAGATGTGGTATGAGTGCCAATGAAACAACTCTACATTTCACACACATAACTCCTTAGCTTATAACGAAACGATATGTCAGCGACACGATACTGCTGTTACAACCTATGAAAACATTGGTCATAAGAAATAACCGAACAAAATAAAAAACCAATTGTTCAGAGAACAATTGAAGGTCTTTCCACCCATAAAGATTTATTTTGATACGGAACTATAAAAATTAGGTTTAAAGTGTCATTTCCAGCGTCAAATGATTGCTTATTGTACGCTGATTAAAAAATATATGGTTTCTATACATTTTTTTTCTAAATAAGGGAGATAATTTGTCACTTCCGGTTTACTTTTTCAAGATCATAATGGCTTGTACCCTAAGGCTCTATCATGTAAACTATGAATTTAAAGCAAAGGCCAAAATTTAGAACGTTAAATTGATCTATCATCTTAACCTTATGTCAAGGTCATAAACTAAGGACCTCAAATCAAAGGACCCTAGGTCCTTAACATGTATTGTTAATGAATTATACCACTGTACGCATAATTTTAAATATAAGAGGCGCAAAAACTCTTGTTAGATTTCAGCGTATCCTTTCAACCAAAATAAATGACTTATGCCATGTTGTAACTAACAGTTTAGTATAAATATGTTGTCGATATATTATACTTTTTATTGAAAAGAAGTGAATATATGCCAATATCAAAATTTAGAATATGACCTTAACCTTTGACCTTGACCTAATTTTCTTTTTTATTGACCAAGAAACTCAAATCAAAAGACCCTAGGTCTCTTTCACTTATTGTTTACCAGTTAGAAATGCATATCACTTATATCAAATGCAAAAGGGGCAATAACTTTCATGTGCGGGTTCGAACTCACAACCTCAGTGTTGACTGGCTAGTGATTACAGTAGTAACTACTTAGACCACTCGGCCACCGAGGCCCCTTAAAAACTGTTCGATATTATATACCAAAAATATAAGCGACATCTTGGGAAACAATAATGCTGCGCAAAAAATAAACAAGCAGAGGATAAAAAATAAATAATCAAAAGGTCTTACCATGGAAAGATGGAAAGACCTAATGATTGGTTAATACAAATTACTATAGGAAAAACTGATGAATTAACACACCATCCTTAATTCTAGTTTTTGGAAAACAAGTTTGTCAAATATTTGACCGATCAAAGAAATGAATCTTTGTAATTCAGAATTATATAGTACAGTCACGGAAGTGTGCAACGTTGCTTCATATACATGTATATGAACCGTAAATTGCTCATTTGAATTCTTTAAAATATTTAATTTCGGTGTTCATGTCATAGATTTTGCTCATTAGTAAATGCCTTCAAAAAATTCAACGTTTGGTTGGTCTTTGGTGGATAATTGTATCATTGCTAGCAAAGTCATCGGATACTATTTTGGTGATCATGTAACTGTCCAATTGATAGCATTCGATGTTCAAGAGTAAACACGAACTTATTATGCTTAATATACCATTAGTCTGTGCGTTGCTTTACAGTTTTTTTTATATACATTTTGAGTGAAATCACTTATTTTAACATTAACATTTGTCTTTTATACTTACCAATCTTAGGTAGGTCTTTGGTTGACTGAAATTTATAAGAATATTCGTTATTAATATGATTTAAATCCGAAGGTTTCCGATATTTCATTGGAAGCACCATAACGTATCGAGTTTTAAAAATAATAAACAATTTCTAGTAGTCAAAATCAATTGGTAGTTCTCACAACAATTGATTTTATCGTGATAGCAACGAGGTTTAAAATGAGGTGTTACATTTTGTATAAATATGCAATGGTTTTAATTCACGGAATAATTTAATTTAGGACACATATCATGAACAAGAATTCAATAGCCATTGATCAGTTAAGTAATTTTCTAAATTGTGTTGCAGAGAAAAAATCAACTTAAGGTGGTACCCAACACCTTGACTAATATTAATTTGGCTCGTTTAATTTTCATAAAAATTTGACAAAATGTTTACTTTGACCCTTTGACAAAAATATAAAAATTTCAAAAAATTTGAACCATCCACTTTATCAGAAAAATTTTATTGGTTATATAGCAGTTTGACAAACACTAATTTTGATCATTGAGAAGCTTAATATTTCCTTAACAATACAACGTAATTAAAACGTTTAGCTGATTTTTACAGAGTTATCTCCCTGAAGTGTTAGGTACCACCTTAAAAAAAATTATAAACTGAATTCGATGATTCTTATTCTTATTTCAATTCAATGTGAACACACTGTAGTGAATATTAAACTTTTGAAGATATAGCTACCTTTTTATCGAACATAAGCATATTGGAATGATACTGCTGTTTTAAACCTCGTTGCTTTCACGATAAAATAATTCTGCTGACATTCGGTAATATTGATCGAGCTGTTTTAGAAATTATAAAATTAGACTTATCTACCTTTGATAACTATTGCCATAATATGTAAAGGATAAAGTATTGTAAAACGTATTGTAAAAACAAGTTTTATTTTACTTTCTAAAAATACAATTTGGGAACTTTTTACTTATTACAATACAGACAATTTACTTATTAGTAATGTCTTCAGACAAATATCGTATGCCTTTGTAATCATTAGCAATAAACGCAGGTTAAGCTCAATTATCTAGCAATCTGGTTTTAGTTTTGTTTGTAAGCATGTTAAATGTAAATAGTTAACAAATTCTATGTTGCCATTGCATTAAGGCGTACAAACTAATAAGCCCTTCATTGAAATTAACATCCAAACATGCTTATATGTTCAGATTCAAACATTCTAAATTACTATTATCATGATTATCTTAATTTTCTTAATGGAAGGTTAACCAATTCTTTTAATAAGTATTGATAATATATCATTATAAAAATGGAATGTTCTTCTTTTTTCATTTAGAATATTATGAAAATACTTGTTTTTTAAAGGTTTTCAATTTTCTAAAAGTAACACATTGTATACATCTTTTTTACCAATTTGTTTTCTTTTCAAATAAAGAAATACACACCTATTGTTAAAAGGTGTCGGCAATATCCCGGACTGCCTTTATATCGGCAGCAATACCGTATACTACCACATGTCTACATGTAGCTACGAGCTTGTTTTCTCGAAATACCATCTTTTCAGTAAGTAAAATAATCAGACCATACTACTTTATCCGTATATAAAAAATCTTTCTTTATACATTACAGTGATTTTTTGTGCAAAATATATCTTACTATTGTTCACCCATGACGCTTTAAAATACTTTGTTGTGTATAGTGTCCATCTTACCTGAAGATTCTCTTCTTTCTGTGTGAGGACCTTATAGCTGTATTGTGGATTATCTGTTACATTCTATAATATAAGTATGATGATGCATTTTGTAGTGTATATTTTCTATTCATAGTATTTAATGGTAGAGTAGTGCCTTATTTTCTAAAACGACCTATAAAATTAATATAACTAAGTTTCTCAAATTCTCAAGCAAAAAAGATGTGTCGAGAAATCTGTTTTTTTTTACAAGCATTTCTTTGTTGTTGTCATTAAGCATTTCTAGAAAAATGATTTACAAAATCAAGATGACTTTTTTACTTTTACCAAACCAACAAACATTCTGTAGGTACTAACATGTTTAGAAGCAATTATTATGATTATTTTGCAGTTTTCGATTGAAAATCAAACTATAGTTTTGTTTCGGACATGTTAGATGAAGCATTATGTTGAATATCATTTGAATCATAGGTCAGAAGTGTAATTGTCTTTAAAGAAATCTATGTGACCAACTATCTTTAAAGTAAAACATATACTTTAACGTAAGAATTGTAATGTATTAATGCTGTCAAAGTTAAGCTTCCTCTTAATTTATTATTATGTGTGATTTTTGACATATGAGTTACAAGGCGATTTAAACAACTCTATATAGTGTCAGGCTTACCTTCAGATACTCTACTAATTTCGTGCTTGAATAAAGGTAGTTTCCCTTATCCTGTAATATAAGTATTTTTTTGCATTTTGTATAGTACGTAATTTCTTTACATTTTCAAATGGCATGCCATTGCGTAATTTTGTCCTTTATTAAGACATGTTGACAAGTATCCCATATTCCAAATCAAGTGGTTCACAAGATTTAATTTTAAATATCCTGAAAATGTTAATTATTTCATACATTTATTACTCTTGCTTCTTTTTGTCATTTTGGGTTTTGTATAACGCTCATCAACAAACGTTTATGCCGCCAATATTCTTTCCGTGTTTCAATGTATTATCAGTCATTATACCAGTAGTAATGGTGTATATTATGATTGGTCTATGTTCTACTTATCTTCATTTAGGTGGCGTTTAAAGAAGTTAAACAATTTATGCAATTTATATTTGATAATTAAATGTTAAAAAGGTAGTACTTTACTAAAAATTAATAACATATAATTCATTGATAGAGTTTTAACAAAACAATGACTCATGCTAAACAGTGATGAGCTCTTGAAAAATGTAAATAACACATTTTCATTGATATACTTTGGACAAAACAATGATGTATCCTAAACAGTGATGTGATCTTGAAAAATGAAACGAAACTTTAAAAAAATCAAAAAAGTTATTAAACTAAGTTTTAAAGTAATCTTAATTGCATAAATGTCAGATATCTTCACGCGAAGTTATTTAAAAATGAAGATTGACTTTCATTTATAACTGTGCCAAGTATACCTAATTTTTAGTAAGCAATGGATATATTTCTTCGATTGGTATAATAAGATTACACATTGTGTTTTGACAAACAACTGGTCAGTAGATATGAAAATCGTTTAAAGGAAATCAAATAACGTTTTAATGTTCCAAATCAAATATAAATTTTTCTTAATAAGGACGCTCTGTAATGTATATTGAACAATGTCGTGTTCAGTAGTTTTAATAAAAAGACTGAATGTCAGTTAAGTGCACCACTAACACTATTCCGTCATAATGAAGAATAGTAACATGAACAGAAAGGTTAAGACAGAATACCGTAAGCCTTGAAATATGGTAAACAATGCACAATTGCATGTAATTCAATATCAATTGCTTAATAAGAGATACAGTGTAACACGTTTGCGTCATTGGGTAGTATAGAATAATTTTCTCCTGTTTCCAAGAAAGGAACAATGGACGAACTTGTAAGCAAAAATAACTTTGATTGACATATAGAAAGATATGCTTGCACTATGTAAAAAGTTAGAAGACATAATTTTGATCAGATATCTGGTTATGCTAATGTAAAAAAAACAAATATAAAAAACAAAGATAACTATCGTAAAAAAGTAGAATATTTTTACCATTAAACGTTATAGGATGAGGTCGTTGTCTGCATAAGATATGTGTCACTCATTTGATCAAAGGTCGCCCCAGGGCCCCCACCTATATCTGCCTATGAAAGTGATACATGTAACCTCCCTTTTTTTACTTATTTACTTTGTAAACACTAATCATACAGGTTTGTTTGTAACTTACTACCCCTTCATAGTGACCTATTCTTTTGCGTTTTTTCTGTCTGTTTTTATCTTCAGCTTTAGCTTCAACATAGGCTGTATTACCCTACAATATAAATAAGACAGAGGAGAGTTAGTGATCTCTTTTTAAAAACATCCTTTTTCAATTTTCCATTGTTTGAACTATTTTGTACAAACAATGTATCTAATCTTTATTTCTTTAGTTCTCAAACCGTGAAACGATTGATTTAACCATTGCTTTTTACAATAAGATGTTTAGTTTTCTATGTAATATGTAATACACTGTTTTTTGTCTTCAATCCTTCCATGGCGTTGTCAGTTTATTATCGATTTATGAGTTTGATTGTCTATTTTGTATATGTCGTCTCTTTTGTACGTTTTCGTTTCCACCTGGTCGGCATTTGCCTTATTAGACTATCTGTCCCCTGAACCATATAATATTTATCCAATGATTCAGTTATAGTTTAATTCCAATGGTAAGTTAGGTCTGTAAAGGACATTGGGTAGGATATCCTGACCCAAATGTTGCACTTTATCTGTTTAACCCCAACACAAATATTGATGTTTGTAAAATACGCAAAAAGAGAATATGGTAGTGTTGTCTACTGTGTGTGTTTGCCTAGTCATGTTTTCTGTTTTATTGCATGGTTAAGGTTAATTCTTTTCGGGTCAACATGGGTCTAAACCATCGCCCATGATACACACTACAAACGCATACTTGTTTATGAATTAATGGCTACATTAGTCTTTTTCCAACGGCAGTGAAAGAGGGACGAAAGATACCAGGGGAAAACTGCGCAAACGTAGGCCATCCGCTTCGTTATATGTATGGTATATTTTAGTTCGTTTTCGTTCTTGTCAGGGATGCTTGAGTTTATAGAGAAAACCAGTTTGGCCTTTGTCAGTTTCGTTTTAGTTTTTCTGTACTTTCTGCCCAAAACACAATTAAAGGTGAAAATGGTCATACAAGGGAAATAAACGTATTTGAATTTATCTTACCTCCCATACATTGTTAGGAATATGATTGGTTAAAAGCGTCCACTGTGTATATTTCATATTAGGCTAGTAGGGAGGCGGGGCTTATTTTATACACGGTTAATAGTGGTGTTAAGTCCCTTTATATTCCATTTCAGGTTAGAAGGGATGCGGGGCTTATTTCATACACGGTTAGTAGTGGTGTTACATACCTTTATAAAAACAAAACAGTATAAAGAAAAAATCTTAAAGGTTTCAACAGACGAAGAAATTGATGATTAAGATTGAAATAAATTCATAAAACACATTTAAACCTATCAAGTTGTTATTGTTGGCATGTGTTTTTGTAGGATCAATGGAAGTAGTTTCTTTAATAATGCTACCACTATTGAAGACTTGCTCATTTTGATAGGTCACTAGCCTAAATTTCTAAACTTCGTACTTTATTTGGCCTTTTAAACATTTTTTGATTCGAGCGTCACTGATGAGACTTTTGAAGACGAAACGCGCGTCTGGCAGAAGTGTAAATTTTAGTCCTGGTATCTATGATGAGTTTATTTCACACGTTAAGAAAGTCGGTAAGATAAATTCGTTACATAGTGTGCTAGTGACGTAATACAGTATATATGGGGTCAGTAAATTCCATATGGGGATTCGAGCTTCACTCTCACCCCATATGGAATTAACTGACCCCATATATTCCGTATTAGATCACTAGCACACTATGAAACTAATAATCTTTTGTACAACTAATCATTTCTGTGTTGCGTATTTCATGATGATAGACAAAAAACAACACCATTGGTAAAAATCGACGTTTAGAGGCAAGACGATGATTTCGCCCAGTTATCTTGTTTTTTATGTCTTCTCTTTTTGATCATATCAGCTTTAAAAGTGTATGTCTAGTTATTACGGTGATTAAAATACTGTGGATTCATTATTATTCGTTGGATACCAAATTTTGTTGATTTCGTTGGTACAGGTTATTACGGTGATTAAAATACTGTGGATTCATTATTATTCGTTGGATACCAAATTTTGTTGATTTCGTTGGTACAGGTTATTACGGTGATTAAAATACTGTGGATTCATTATTATTCGTTGGATACCAAATTTTGTGGATTTCGTTGGTACAGGTGAACCTCGAAATTAAATATTCAACAAATACAATAAAAATGTCTATACAAGTGTAAGTAGACTTTGGTAAAACCACAAAATTAAATATCCCCGAACATATAAATTTTTTCTTAATCCAAGAAAATTGTTTCCCACGGTAATAAATGAACCCACAGTATCCGGCAAAAACAAATATGACTGTCATTTTCAGGAAAACTATCTTATTAAGATGTTTGTCTATAGATGCTTGATACATACCTTACCATAAATGCTTTTTTTATAATATGATAGAGAATACCTCATGTTTATGGTAGCCGTCTTCGTTGGCAAAATAATCATAAGACATATTGTAAAACTGAATACACCAAAGACCAGTTTCCCGCTGATTGACGAAGTAGTTTTAGATGATATTTTTGTTAGTTAAGGGACAAAAGACAATGGAAGCTGGTGGTGGAAAATCTCACATTGTCTTCGGGCCTGGTCAGCCAAATATGAATGTTTTTTTTTCCTTTTATTAAAAGTCGGCTTGCGTTCAAAGTTCTTGATTGATATGAAAAAAAATAAAAAAATTGAAGTTACATATTTCATTTTTTATATTCTCAAAATGTTAACCAAAGAATCTTCCACCGATGCTGATGTTGTGAGTCAACGAAACATATATAAAATCAATAAGCAATATATTGTATGTACAGTCACTAGTTTGCAATTCTTATTTGGTACGAAGGTAGCAAATGATAATTATTCTGACCTTAGTATTTCTAGCTTCAAGACTCGATCCATGCTCTACCAAAATGACAGTAACAGGTAGAGATCCACAGGAAACTGCAAGATGTAAAGCTGTATTTCCCTACAACATATTAGGTATTAGTTAATGTTGAAAAACAAAACTCATAGAGAAAGGACAGGAAAAAAGTCAAGATAAATAGTCAGCTACATGTATGTTTATTTTTTTCAAATCTCGAAGGAAAAACATAGCTTCTCGTGCGATGTTTTGGGACAAGTTAAACTTAAAATTCCGACCAAACTTTTAATTCACAAATGAATAAAGTTTAAAACCTAAATAGTTGGTTGTTCAGATAAACTGTTGGTTAGTATTAAAACGTGGATGCTTAACATCAAGTGGAAAATAATCTTACGGTTATGCTTTACTTACCAGTTTGGATCTTTCTTGTTTATTTTAAAGAAATATTTTAACATTTACTAATTTTGTCAAAAACTGGTGCTTTAAAAAACAATTATGACATATTTTACCAGGTTGGTATGAGTTAACCCGGCGTAGACAGACGTCCAACAGAAAACATCGTATATGATGCAATCAACACGAAAAGTATTTTGTTTTTCAATTTTGCTAATGAGCATTGTCTATATGCCTTTTTGTGTTTCTTTGATAAATATGACGAGGCTCTGTACGTATACATCCCGTCATTATGTCTGTTTGTTTTGTTCACCAATCGTTGTCAATGTATTGGAATTTGATGCGCTGTCATACAAGTGAGAGGTTTCGCAAGCTATTAAACCAGGATTAATCCACCATTTCTACATAAGAAAATGCATGTACCAAATCAGGAATATGACAGTTGTTATCCATTCGTTTGATGTGTTTGATCTTTTGATTTTGCCATTTGAATATAGACTTTCTGTTTTTGAATTTTCTTCGAAGTTCGGTATTTTTTTGTAGTTTCCTTTATTCAATAGTTTTTAACTAATCAAGTCATTACCCACCAGTACAACCATTTAAACAAATACCTACTTCTGCGTCAACTAAGCTAACATCAGCTTTTCTTTTTAGGAGTAGTTCTACGACATCAATTCGTTTCATAAATGTTGCAAGATGAAGTAGACTCCATTTCTATAAGTAACAAACAAAGCCTGCTAGTATAATCGTACATACCGCCTACCGACTACTTTCATTCTTAACAATAAAACAGCAGAATGTTCGAAATCTGTAATTTGTGTATGTCTATTGGACTTGCTTGCATGTTTAAAAAAAATATTTGTTGAAAATTACCATATAAAGCTCTTAAAATGACGAGCATGGCAAATATTACATAGTCCTCGAATTTTTGTTAAAATGAGATACTGTGACATTTTCAAACGATACTTTAACGAAAGTTTGTACGCCATGAGTGTATTTTTTTTTTTTTTTTTTTTTTAATGTTATCATATTTTATTGAAATCTGTACATTTGTTAGTTGAATATATCGAATACCGGTACCTTATCCCGGCCTCGTTAACATTAGTAAATAACATATATATGCAAATATTAGTATTTGTTAGTAATTTACACATTATAATGACATAATAAAATAAAAATATATACCATAACAGAAATAACAATTTGGATGTTCCTTAACAATCTAAATAGCTTAAAATTAACTTTACTTTAAATAACAAAACATACAGATATATATATAAAAAAAATATGTTTGAAGTAGAAAAAAAAAAGAAAAGATACAAAAACTCATAGTGAGTTCTGCATTATAGACCAGATATTAAAGAGAACTGATAATTAGAGAAAACAAAAAATTAAAGTTTTGCCTAGATGAATTTTAATTTAACATCCTATCCTATTTCTGTCAAATTTTAACATAAAAGTTGCTTCTATATATATATAAATACATTTATTTATTTAACTGTCAAATAATATAGTGAAAGTATTCCACATTTCATCGAAAATTTCCAGTTTCTTGTTTTTAACAGCAATGTGTTTCTCAATACAGTAAAGATCCTGTATTTTCTTCTGCACTCCAAATAATGTAAGTCTTCTCTTAAAGTATTTACAACTAAAAATATAATGTCTGATATGCAGAAAAATCAGGTTGGTCACATTTCTACTAAAAGCTTTTGAGATATCTCCAAAAATACAATTTTGAGTAGTAAAGGGAATACTTATACCATTTGAAAGAAACCAATTTTTATTTTCATTTAAAAATATGTGTACAATCTCACAATTCCAAAACAAGTGTTCAATTGTTTCATCTTCTTTTTGACAAAATGTACAATTTGGGTTATTTCTATTTTATACAATAATTTGTTTGTTCCTAAAATACGCTGATTGATTCTATACTGTAATCATTGCAATTTGGTTTTATTTGTCACTACAAAAGGTAGTCTAAAAATTTCTTTCCATTCCCCTTTTTCACAATTTATAATTTCATCCCATTTTCTTTGCCCATTTGATATAATATTATTCTTGATTAGTATTGAATACATATCTTTTGTTCCCCTTGAGCTTCTCAACAGAATTTTCAAAAAGGATGGAATAAATGGAGTCAATAACTTATAATCATCAACAGCATTTTTTGCTGTTTTTTTAACAGCAGAAATAATACTGTTATATTTCATAGCATGTTCTTCAATATAAAAATTTTCCTTTAACTGGGCAATGGAGAGAAATTTTCCAGTTTCAGACATAATGTCATTTATGGAACAAATACCTTTGTTAAACCATTCTACATAAAAAGCTGGTTTATTACCAATTTTTATACATCTATTAAACCACAATGAACTTGACAAAAAATGATCCCATGTATGGGTTTTTTTCTTTAGTAATAATCATATTCCATGCATCAATAACATCCTTCCAAAATTTGTTTTTTACATTATTTTTAATTTGGGATAAATATCCGTTTCCACATTTGAATAGTCTATCTCTATTTACTGTTGACAAAAATACATTTTTCCATTTACATTCTGAACGAAAAAGTTTTCTAACCAATGTTGACTTCAAAGCTATGATAAATAGGTTAAGATTGATCATTTTTAAACCTCCCTCACAATATTTTTTTTGTAATATTTCTTTCTTTATACTGTGTACAGGTGAATCCGTAATAAAGGTGTAACAAATTTCATTAATCTTTTTTATAATCGCATCACTAGGATTTGGTAATGAGATTATTAAATGATTTAAGACAGGTTGAATTAAAGTTTTTCCCACAGTTATTTTACCAATAACAGTAAGATTTCTTCTAGACCAAGTTTTAATTAATTTCTTTATGACCAGAAGTCTCTGCTCATAATTTATATCAACAATTTTATCTAAATCTACATCAAAATGAATTCCCAGTAAAGTAAAATCTGTTTTACCCCAGGATAATTTTCTTTCAGGACATAAAACATCATTACTATATTTTTTGTTCCCAATCCAAACTACTTGCGTTTTTGTGAAATTAATATTAAGCCCAGAAATTTTAGCATACCAATCTAATTCAATTAATGCCTTATTAAGAGACTGTTCACTTCCGTCTAAAATTAATGATGTATCATCGGCAAACTACTCTATTCACATTTATTCCACAATTTCTTTTATTTCCCCGAATTCTGATTGCTAAAATTTCTGCACACAGTATAAATAGATACGGTGATAAAGGATCACCTTGACGGCAACCACGTCCTACCTTAAAAAAATCTGAACGGTTACCTCCTTTAATACAGCAGATGAAATATTTTTGTAGAACACTTTAGCACAGTTTATAATGTATTCTCCAAAATTAAAAAATTCTAAAACACTATAAAGAAAATCCCAAGAAATAGTATCAAAAGCTTTTTCAAAGTCAATCAAAAGTAATAAACCAGGTATGCCATTTTCTTCAGTAAATTGTAAAATGTCATAGATTAATCTGATATTATCCCCAATATAACGCCCACTAATAAAACCAGTCTGATCAAGATCAATCAGTTTACATAACACATTTTTAAATCTACTAGCTATAACTCCTGAACCAATTTTGTAAACAGTATTTAATAGAATAGTAACTAGAATACGAGATAGTTTTACCTCTAATTTCTAATAATAATATCTCAAGAAATAATTGGTTATAAATAGTTAAATGGAGATGATCATTACAAACTTCCCGTATACTTTCAAAATTATAGAACAATGCACCATATTGTGTTTTCACTTCTAAAATTTTTTCATTAATAATATCAATATATTCCTTGTGTTATAATAAAGAATTGTTGAACTTCCACAGTCTTTTACCACGTATAAAAGGGTTAAATTCTAGTTCTAGAACCAAAATGGAGTGGTCTGAACGGTAGCTAGAATATATTTTACAATTTGATAAATTTGATAACAGAGAATCCGAAATTAGAAAAAAATCTAGTCTAGCTTGTATAAAAGGTGTTTTTTTTTTTCGCCAGGTGTATTTTCTTAATTCTGGAAAAAGTTCTCTGAAGGGATCTACAAGTGACCATTGGTCTATAAGTTCTTACACTTTATCTCTAGCATTAAGATTATTTACATGTAAATAATTATAACGCTAAATTAAAATCACCACAAAGTATAAAACTTTCATATCCAAAATCTTCAACAGTGTTTATAATCTTGTCATAAAAATTAGGACTATCTGTATTAGGACCATAAACTGAGACAAGAGTTATCTTTTCGTCACCAATCACAATATCTAATGCTATGTAATTACCATTTAAATCTCTCTTTTCGTTTAATACTTTAAATTCAGAATTATTATTTAATAAAACTGCAACTCCTCTTGAATTTGATAGGTAAGATGAAAAGCATTCATATCCCCACATCGATCTTATACTTCTCTCGATGTCTGTGGTAAAATGAGTATCATGTATGCAATAAATATTATAATTTTTAGATTTCAAAAAATTAAAACGTCTTTTCTCTTGTTAGTATTTCCTAAATCCTGACAATTAAATGTCAAAACTTTAAGTGAATTCATTATAGTAAGAAATATTTCCCATCAGTATGTACACAAATGAAATGTGTGACAAATACAAATTCATCTGGCAAACAAAGATTTGACATAATAGATAAGTCATATTCATAAAACAGTAGTTTAAAAGCAAAATATCAGAAAAGAAAAAAAAACTTGAATAAAAATATAAGTAACGATTAAAGAAAACAGGCATACACCTACCTTGAAAAGAAGTGCAAAGTACATTTTTTGCAAAAAACTACATTTGTACATATTCTGATTTTTCTTTTTACAAAATACAAATTGAAATTGACCTACTTGATTTTCTATAATCTTGAGTATAATTGAATGTAAGATATATGTCCATGTATAGCATGACAATATAGACGAATGTACAGCAAGTTTAATATCCATGTCTTATTCTCAAGTTAATGTCATCATACATTCCAATTTTCAACTGTAAACCACTCGGAGTTCTAGCATAAACACCCCAATTGAAAAACCAAACCTGGTCGAAATGTTGGCTTTTTTCTAGAGTGAGTGTATTAGAACTTGCAAAATATGAATCCTACGAACTATTCGTAAATGTAGTTGCCTGAAAGGTGACGTATGAGCTCTCCCTAACATCCTTCTTATTTTTGCATAAATTGTCAAATTATCCGATCGTTTACTTACAGTTTAAACAAGATTTTCTATAAATGAATCTGTTACAGAGAGCTTTCTCAAAGGATTTCAAATATAATGGACAATGATAAACTATAGTAAAGAAACAAACAAAGCAAGTAAAATTGACAGAAATTATGCGTAAGCAAAAAAAAAAAACCAAATAAGGAGGAAACTTTAACACTTTATTTGCGGTTAGTGTTAATTTCTAATCAAAATAATACTTTAAATTTCATCAAGATGTTGAGTATGTGTCCATTAAAAGTAACACAACGATAAAATCAAACAAAAACATTGATAGGACAGCGTACATTATTTAAAACACACAGGTGCTATGCAAAGTTCCTTTGAATGTAAGAAATATCAAACCTGTATTCTATATTAAGCTAATAATAACACTGGTATATATTTGTTTAAACATTAGTCTCGACAACAATTAAACGAACCATATATCAATTCCTCTTAAATATTTTTCAAATATTTCAGATGAAACATTAACTCACATTCTCATTTA